GTTTGCATTAGAGACATGTGTTTGAGGTTATTATAATACTAAACAGACCTGCTGTATTAATGACTCCTATTTAGTGCCTGTCATCAGCCCAATTGATTTATAGTTCATGAATGCCACCTGGTGGAGAGAAGAATACAAAACAATTGAATTTTTAAACAAAGTAAATGCAATTCGTTAGTACCTTTTAAAGCGCCTAAATCAGTTTGCTAGAGTATACTCAGACAAGCCAAAAGAGGAGACGTCAGGATGGGTGACTAAAGAGTGCCATAGGGGTAGATTTTAAGGAGAATCTTAAAAAGACATTGAGATGTTCAGTGAAAATAAATCCTCAGATGGAGCGTAGATAACTGAAAGCACAGCTGTCATTGGAGGGAAGGAGTGGGTAGCAGATGAACGAGAAACCAGAGTTGGAAGAGTCAGGGATTCCAGGCTTTTTTTAAATTCATTCATGAGAAGGTGGTGGTAAGCTGCCTTCTTGAACCACTGCAGTCATTTGGTGTAGGTATACCCACAATGCTGCTAGATTAGGAGTTCCAGGGTTTTGACCCAGTGACAGCTAAGGAACAATGATATAATTCCAAGTTGGGATGATGAGTGTCTTGGAGCAAAACTTGCAGGTGGTGTTCCCATGTATCTGCTGTCCTTGTAGTTCTAGATGGGAGTGGTCTTGTTTTTGGAAAGCACTGTCAAAGAAATCTCAGTGAATTTTTGCAGTGCATCTTGTAGATAGTGCATGCAGCTGCTACAGTGTCAGTGGTAGAAGAAATGAATGTTTGTGGATGTGGTGCCAATCAAGCAGGCTGCATTATCCTGAATAGTGTCAAGCTTCTTGACTTGTTAAGCTGCACTTATTCAGACAAGTGGGGAATATTCAATCATACACCTAACTTTTATTTCAGCGATAGTGTACTTGCCTATTGTTCTATTGCATAGATTTGAGTACATAATCAAGTCTAACAATTCAGTTCCATATTGAATTAATGTTGTATCATTGGAGGTGCAATCTTTCAGTAGAGACACCAGCTGCACTCACAAGTAAATGTACATGATCCCATGGCTCAATTTTTTAAAATGAAGGCAGTAATTTTCTGGCCAATATTTATCTCTTAACCAACATCACTAAGGAACATCGCTAAAACAGATCATCCAGTCAACTGTTACTATTTCTGGAAGCTTGCTGTGTGAAAATTGGTAGCTGCATTCAGAAGTATTTTATTGACTCTAAAATCAGTGCATCCACCTCTCTGCCAAATTTCAGCCAAAGCAACGAGATAATAATGGCAAGGTTATGTGGGAATGGACATCCTGGAAGGAAATCTGCAGAGAGAAAAGAAAGACTTCCTTTTGATAGTACCTTTTTCAACTCAACACCAATTCTGAAAAAACAGTTTTCAAGAAGGAGTTAAATATATTTCTTAGGGTTAAAGAGATTAAAGGATATAGGGAGAAAGTGGGAACAAAGTACTGAGTTGGATGATAGTTATGACGATAATAAACATGGAGCGGGCTCAAAGGGCTGGATGGCCTACTTCTGCTCCCGTATTCTATGTTTCTACTCCACAGCTAATGAAATATAACCACTGTTATAATTTAGGACATTTAGAGGAATGGAAGTGGAAAGGGAGATGAAAATTATAATGAACAAAGAAAAGAGGGGGTGTGATGTATGTCAAGTGAATTCTAAGAACCAGATCAGATACAATAAATTGAGAGGGAAGATGATGAGGTCAATAAAACTGGCAAGGAGAGAATATTAGAACGGCAGTCAACATAAAGGGAAACCCCAAGAATCATCTACTGGCTCATGAATAGTAAGTAGCTAGTAAGAGATGGTGAAATGAACCCAATTAGAGATGAAGGTAGATAGATAATTAGTTTATTAAAAAATCATCCTGGTAGCAGATGCTGAATTATGATGACAATAACAAAAAGTAATAATCATAACTCATAGTTATAGATATGCATTAAAATAAAAAATACAATCGTAAAAGAATTAGACAATTTCAGTATATGGATAATTAGAATACATTGGAAATTGCTTTGCCATTCATCACAATCATGGCTGATTGTCCAACTGAATAGCCTAATCCTGCTTTCTCCCCATAACCTTTGATCCCATTCGCCCCAAGTGCTATATCTAGTCACCTCTTGAATACATTCAATGTTTTGGCGTCAACTACTTCCTGTGGTAATGAATTCCACAGGCTCACCACTCTTTGGGTGAAGAAATGTCTCCTCATCTCCATCCCAAATCCTCATTCTGTGACCGCTGGTTCTGGACAAACCCACCTTCGGGAATATCCTCCCTGCATCTACCCTGTGAGAAATCTGTGTTTAAGTCTCTAGGCTTAAAAGTTTTTAGGTTTTTCTCTCTTTTTCTGAGAAATAGTTTGTTACATTTTCATAATAGGTCCATACATTCTAATTTTCAGAGTAATGGAATGGCAAGAGTGGTTCCAGGGATTAGAAACTTCAGCTATGAGGATAGAGTGGAGAGATTAGGAGAGAAGAAGGCTAAGTGAGGTCTGACAGAAATTTTCAATATTTATGGAGATCTGGATAGAGTAGATAAGGTGAAACTGTTACTGCTTTCATGAAAAGATGAAGAAGGAGAGGCCACAGATTTAGTGTGATGTGCAAGACAAGCCACTTACATGTGGTTTGGATCTGGAATGTACTTCCTCGAAGTGTGGTGGAGACAGGTTCAATTGAATCAAGAGGCTATTGGATGTTTATTTGAATAGAAACAAGTCAAAAAATTTGGGGAAAATGCAACAGAATGGCATTAAACAAAATGCTCCTTTGGAGAATCATGCAGACATGATGGCCCAATTGGCCTCTTGTGCTAGAACACTTCTGTGATATGTTTAAGGCTTTCAATTCACCATGTAACTGCATGTTGGGCAAGATTTTGGGAAGGGTATATAATCTGATCATAGATGCAAGGGAAAAGAGATGGGAGGTCATGAGGAATAGATGCAAAATGGCCATTGAAACAATTCACAAAACCCATATGATTATCACTATCAATGCCGAGTACAATGTTAACGAGGGATGCCAGATACCATTAAAAGTACCCCTCTATCCCATCATGCTAGTTTAATAATTGGATTTGCCTGGAGTAAAAATTGTACCCTGCAGCCCTAATTGCATGATTTATTATTCTGACCACTGTCCATACAAACAGATGTTATCATGGTGATAGGCAGTCTTCCATTTGCATTTATGCTTATATGATGGACAAGACTAGAATAACTAATAAGTAATTTGTACCCATGTTTATTAAGGAGGAATTTGACAAAAAAGTTGGCAGAAGAGAAAGAATAGATGGAATGGATATGGTGAAAATTGAGAGGGGAAGTAATAAAGAAAGTTGATGAAAAGAATGTGGTGGATGTTGTCTATATGTATTTTAAGGAATATTTGACAAAATACCACAAAATAAAACTGGCTAACAAAACTGATGCCCCTGGAATGGGAAGGTCCATGTCCAATGAATTTTTTTTTTAAAAAATGGCGTAATGGCACATCCAACGCATTGAGGTAAATGGTTCTTTTACAGATTAATGGATGCAAAATAGTGGTGCTCCACAAGGATCAGTACTAGCACCACTACTTTTTTGTGCTACATAAAAATGACATAGATCTTGGATTAATGATGAGAATTTCAAAACTTGCTGGTGACGTGAAACATAGAGAAGTGGCAAATGATGAGGATGATACAATTGCCTACAACTTGACATAGGTGGGCAGAATGAAAAGCCAATTGGAACTTAATATGAAAAGTGTGGCAGAAAGGATAGACAATATTGATTAAATGGTGCACTTATAATAAGTGTATAGGAACTGAGGATACATATGTGTTTGAAGATGGTAGGACATTTTGAAACAGTAGCTAGCAAAGCATGTGGGATTTATGACTTCATAAACAGAAACACTGAGGCAAGCTATGCCAAAAATTTAAAATGTGTTTGGTCTAGTCACCACACGTTAGGAAAAATATGAGGCCCCTTGAAAGGAAACAGAGGAGATTTTCAGAATGGTTCCTGGGATGAGATCTTTTAGCTACAAGGTTAGGTTGGAAAAGCTGAAGTAGCTTTCCTTAGAGCAAAGGAGATTGAGATGATAGAATTGTATAAGATAATGGCAGGTTTGGGTAAGGCAGACAAGAAAAAATTATTCCCATTAGTTGAAAATGGGCAAAGATTCAAGGTTTTTAGCCTAGAGTTGAAGGGAAAATGTGAGGACAAATAGCTTACGCAACAAATAGTAATGCAGTGTAGTGATTGGAACCAGGGCCACGTGGATCTCATTGATACAAGATCCCTGATTGGGGTTGTTAACCTGAGCCAATCAGGGAGCCCTGGCTGACAGAAATGAACAGTAGATTCAGAGATGGCTTTGAGCAAGCTAGTCAGAGATCATGTACTGTGCATATGTAAATAAAGGGTGACTTGGTGACAGGATTTTGGCCTCTATGCAGTTATTTCAGTGACCTGAAAGTTACTGTCCAAACGACATGCATTTAATGTGAATACCACATGGATAAAAGACAACTAGATGACAAACATTTTTCACACAGTAAATGGTTAACATCCAGAATGTACTGCCTGAAAGGGTGATGGAGACAGATTCAATAATGACTTTTGGTTAATACTGGAATCATTGGAAAGAAGAAAAACTCAGACCATAATGAAAAGGTGAGAGTGTAGGTTTAGCTGAGTTGTTCTCGTAGACAGCTGGCATAGACATAAAGAGTTGAGGAGCCTGTTTCCGTGCTGTCACTGTGCACCTGTCTGTTCAGCTTCCCAGAAAAAGCTTTGAGTCTCAAGTGCATTGTGCAGAATTTATTTTTAACACATCTTTTTGGACTGAAAGCATTTTAAATACATTTGTTTAAATAATGACTGAGTCCATTAAACCATTTTAGACGTTGGTTTTATTACTCAGAAAATAATTACGTTTGGGCCTTTACAAGGAAATCCTTGATATTAGTTACTGAACAGGATTACAGAGAGAGAGAGAGAAAGAGAGAGCAAAACATTTTAAATATATAAATGTTCAGTGGGATTTGAGAGCTGTTTGAAATCACCAAACACCATAAGAGAGAATGGTTTCACTGGTTGACTGTCCTGTCAGTCAAAGGGAGGAATTCACTGAGAGGCTGGAGCAGTTCTGAAAAATTAAATAAAGAGCGATGTTACTGTTATAAAGAAAGACAAAGGCAACAAATTAAATCCACAAAATGTCGATGGAATACAAGGAAAATGCAAAGAAGTATGTTTTTTTTCAGAAACATGCCAGAGTGTTCACACACAATAAATGACTTTGAATTTTAGTGATTTTTGTAGTTGAAGAATCTAGTTCGCTCTTTGGAAAATTCTTTCTTTGGATTAATCCTTGGAATGTGGGGACTGTGGTAACATTGCTATTTAGTGCCTGTCCCTAGCTAACTTTGAGAAGGAGTGATGAGAGCTTCTTGACAGCTGTAGTTCATGTAACAAAGGTGCTTTTCTGAAGTTACTAGGCAGGCAGTTCCAGGATTTTGACCTTTGGATGATAAAGAATTGGCTGTACATGTCTGAGTGTTAGTGATGATTAACTTGTGTGGAACTTGGAAGTGATGGCACTTCCATTCACCTACTGTTTTGGTCCTTACAGTTAACAGAAGTCATGGGATTGAAAGCAGATGAAGGAGTCTCAACAAGTTGTTATAATGCATTTATAAAACTATAAAACTTAAGGGCAGGAGTAAGCCATTCAGCCCATTGAATATTCTCCACCATTTTATGACTGGGTCTGATAATCCTTAACTTCACTTTTTGGCTTTACCCCCATAACCCCTGATTCTTTTAATGATTAAAAATCTGTCTATCTCATCCTTAAATATACTTAATAACTAGATCTCGACAACTCTTTTGGTAAAAGATATTCCACAAATTCACTACCCACTGAGAGAAGAAATTTCTCCTCATCTATTTCTTAAATGAGCACCTCCTTATTCTGAGATTATGCCCTTTGCATCATGTAGTTAATGTACACTGCAGGCACACTGATACCTAGTGAGAGGGGAGGGAGTGGATGTTGAAACTAATGGATACCAAGTTGCTTTGCCCTGCCCATATGCTTTTATGTTCATTGATGCATCTTATTCTAAGTTTCCTATTTGTGTTTTTTATTATTGTTGTTTTTACTATCGTTTTTATTCGAAAGTGATAGTGTGCTGATAGTGTCATATTCAATTCTTTTTTCTTTTGCCTCTATAAGTGTCTATGGGCTTTCTTTTTGTCACTCCTTTTCAAATTGGAAGTTTCATAAGCCATTTGAAATGTTCCTAAGAGTTTACTAAATTATGTGAAACTGGACTGAAGGATAGACCAGACCTTTGACAGCTGGTTTCCTTCCCTGAGGGATGATTGTGAACCAATTATATTTTTATATCAATTTCCTAAAACCATTTCAAGTACTAGCTCACAGCCGGGGATTAAGATAGTGTAATGGTTACGCTACTAGATTTATAGTCTCATGAATGAGTTTAAATCTCGCTTTGGAGAGACTTACTTCTCTTTAGTGAAAGATAAAAAGAAAACTTTGGCTCTGTTTGCCCCAAGAAGTTAAAAACTAATGGGGTCACTTGCAAATAGGTTGAAATTAAATACTTCACTGGCACTGGTAATTGAGAGCTGCCTTGAAACTAAGAGAGTTTCTAGACCATTACAAAGAGCCATTTAGAGTCAAACAATTGGTGTCAATCTGGAGTCCTATTTAGGTTATGGTCAGAAATTCCTTTTTTTCTTCAGGCAAGTGAGGAGAACTAGGCTCCAATCTCGGGAGATATGCCCATTTTCACCATTTGGCAATACCAAGTGGACTATTGTCCAAGAAATGGTGGTCCCAGTGAGAGTTGGAAACTTCCAGTGTTGAGATTCACCAGCAAGTTTCTTCCTGCAATGGCCTTGTTTAGAGGATGTTGAAACTTTACCCTTTACACGCCCTTTGGGGGACTCCAACAACAAGTCAGATCACCCACTAACATTTAATCCCAAATCTATAGCACGAGTCACCAACCTCAATGGCAAAGCCAATGTTAATTAGGTATTCTAAGCAAAGGAAACATGCTTACCTATCACTTCTAGTCTTCAGCCAGCCATGATGTGCTTTACAAAAGCTGCAAAGTAATAAAAAATTGATTACTAATGTAGAAAATTTAGCTTGAGATGAGATTACAGTCTTTTGGTTTTCAGTTTATCAACAGTATCCAATCTATCAGGAGTTTCAATATTGTAAATATTGCCTACATGAATTATTTCGCTGCTAAGACCATAAGCTTCTCGAGGGGCACTGAGAGCCATAAAGCTAGCAGTGGGCTTTAGAGGAAACCATGTCTCATGGATAGTACTGAGCTCCCAAGTGTCCGGTGAAGACTGCTTTAGACTCCAAAGGGTCCAACTATCTGGTTGTGATAACTGATTGAAGATTATAAAAGAGGCATTCTTTCTTCCACTGACTTTTATTTAATAAAAAAGCAAAAGTGTAGTTTAAAGCAATGAACTATTTACAATGAATATTCATTCCCCCGAGATTGCAGATATTTTTGTAGTGAACAAAAATGGGACATGTCAGCAGCTTCACAGCCAAACCTGATTCACACAAGTACATTTTCCAGCAGGAGTTGCCAATAGCAATCGGATCTGACAATCTGGGAGATATTTGTCCCTCTATCACCCAAAGGTGTTGAGATCAAAAGTAGTCTCCCAACTAAATACAATCTCCGGTGTGTAAACCAGAGATTTTCCTGTACAGAATGACTCAGATCAAAAGGGCCATTGCTTTTATTCACTGCACCAGCTGTTGACACTGATTTTAACAAACTCACCTTCATAGTTGATGCATCCATTGGCATCTTCCTGTCCAGCCATCAGCTGTTCCACTTCATCCTCCGTCATTTTCTCACCTTTGGAAAACCATGAATGGTGATGTTAGCATCAAGCGTAAAAATAAACTCTCATCTTGAATAGCAGCTGAAGGATCCAACTTAATCCTTTAACTCTTATTCTTCCCTTACACCCTGTTTCATTAATCCTGAACTATGATCCTGTTGAAAGGGACGTTGTTGACTGGAGTTTGTGGGGAAGTGAAGGGGAGAAACCTAAGGTTAGCTCAGGCACCTGACCTATTAGCTGCAGAGGGACAGAACTAAACAAAGAGGAGAAAAATGAATGTGTGGCTCAAGTGATTTTATTGCTGGTCTGGTTGTCCAGGGATTGAGACATCACACCACGACATTTAAGAAGTTGATTAGAGTTTAAGATATAAAAGTTGGAATCAATAAAAGTCAAAATGAAATAAAAGATTGTTATTAAAAATTCACTGGTACATATGGAGGCCAACATGTGACACAGTGGTGGTTCATTCTAAAAGGCTGCAGTGGGCAACTAGATATGAGCAATAAATGTCAACACTGCAATGAAACCCACAATCTCCATCATCCAATGAAGCCTCCATTTCAACCACTCATTATTGTGTAAAAATTGTCTTTTAACTTCTTACCTAAAAAGTTACTCTACAGCTTTTGACTTCTTACACATGTATATACATGAATTTGGTTCAGGATGTTTATTTTGCAGAGGCTTTTACTTTTGCACTGTGACCACTGTGAGAGTCAGGGAAAGAGTGTGGGACTGTTGATTAATGGGGAAATTGGGATTGTGGTTACTGTTATCACACTCAGTTGAGTCATTCAAGGAGAACTTAGATATAAAGGAGCTATGCAGGTTGCACCTCCCCTTCTTTTTCTACTGCTCAGCTACTCAGCATATCGCTGGTAGCAGGCCCTGTCTCTCATGATTGTGAGATTTTGCAGCATGTAGCAGATCACAAGAATCTTGACATCTGCTCTGCAGTGAAAGCATTGTTTTAGCCTGACACATTGACCTTGGAAGGAGAAGGCTCCTTACATGGCCAAACGAGAACTTCCAGCGCTAGCAGGAACTGAGGATATTTAGCCACTTTCCAGTTCCGGAGTGTTCTGTTAGAGTTATAGTAAGAGTCTGGATTACATTTTTAGACTGCATTTCCCTCCATTCCACCATCTGCATTTAAAATTGGCCTATAATTTGTGAAGAAATGACCAAACAGCACTTTCTTTAGAAGTTCAGGGTTCAAAAGTAATTTGGAAGTATAAGACTTCAGAGGCAGAACTGAAACTAAAATTATTTATCGAAGGACATTATGGACTGACTAGCCTGAAACATTAGTTCAGCATGGAGTTTATTTCACCGTTAAAGGTAACCTCTTTTTGATGAAGCCCCATCTGTCTTTTCAGGTTGACTTATCTCCTGGCACTGTTTAAATGAAAGGAATTCCCCTATGTCCTGCCCGAGATTTCTCCATCGATCTTACCAGAGTAAGAAAAAAACTGCTGATTATCAGGTCATTCATTCATTTGTTATTTGTGGAACATCAGTGAATACATTTCATTGCCGTTTTTGTCAACAGACCAATGCTGACTGTATTTCATTCAGGTAATTCATCAGCTGTGATTCAAGACAGGGATATGCAATATATACACTACTGGACACACCTACTCATGCAGTATATACACTACTGGACACACCTATTCACTTTAGGATGACAATGTTATGGTGGTTTAAGTGATTTATAGCGCATTATTTGATTGAGGTCTGATAGACACTGAACAGAATAAGATGAAGGATGAACCATTGTCAAATTAGTACTGGTAACAGTGAGAGTGGAGCACAGGGGGAAACATATTTAGATATTACGGTGGTTACACATGAGGCTTTGACTCAGAACACTTCAAGTGTTCATAATGTAAACAGGGAAATGGCTTAGTGTGTGCTGAGTCAACTGTTCTCAGATGGTAAACGGTAACCATGCTGCTACAACTGGCCTTAGCAACTTTGGGCTAGGGAGAGAAATGTCAGCTAAGGTTTCTGCTCCTAACCACACTCTAGTGAGACTTATTAGATTCAGGATGTCAATTCAGGAAGGAATTACGTTCTTTTGCAATATTCTCTGTGGTCAAATTAGCTGCTGACACTCAAGGGATGTTAGGCAGTTGAAATTGACTTAACGATATACAAATGGATCTCGCTGTCTTACATTGTAACCTACTCACCTGAAGCTGAAGGTATAATAACACTTCAAGTATCACACTGGAGTTTGAAGATGTCATTGGGCTCCCACTGTAATTTTACATCAGATTACATGTGCTTCAAAGCACAGAAACAGGTCATTCAGCCCAGCTAGAATATGCTGGTTTTCAAACTTCATTTGAATCTTCTCCCATTTATGTTCATCTAAATTTGTCATAACCATCTATTCTCTTCTCACTCATTTGTTTATCTAGTTGCTGTAAATGACAACTCTATTTTTCTCAGACTGGGATGGGAGTGGGTTTTCGTCCTCAGGTAGGAGCTAAATAAACTTCTTCAGCTAAAAAATGGTGAGAACATGGAACTCACCTTTCCAGGGAATGGTTGAAACAAATAGTACAGATGTATTTATTTACACTGTGCATATTAATCCTCTTCCAAAAACATTTCAGAGCCAGTAGAATCTGTTAAAAAGGCTGTCATTCCAAAAACAATTTGGATTCTTTATACATTACAAGCCTTGTTGTATTTACTACAGAATCTCAGAATTAATACATCACAGAAGGAGACCATTTATCCATCATGTCAGCACTGGCTCTCTTAATGAGCATCTCACTTATTGCCATTCTCCTGCCTCCTCCTTGTAACCTTCCATGTTGTTCCTTTTCAGATAACAGTCTAACTCCCTTCTGAATCCATTCATTGAATGTGTAGACACTCTCAGGCCATGCAATCCATGCTACTTGTCATCTTATTTGTAATATGTTTTACTGAAAAAGGACTTCTTTATTTCAAAGCTAGGGGCCACAAATTATGAATTGCTAGGCTGGATGTTGCAAGTGATTCAACTTGTCACAATATGACTTCTTCAGCAGCACTGCCTAAAGCTGCACCTTCTAGCCCCAAGAAAGACCATGACTGTGGGTGCTTGGGAGCACTGACATCTCCAAGCTTCCCTTTATATCATGTTTTGATTCGACTCGGACAAATACCCTTTACTTCTCTTTGGCTTTTGGTAAAAATCCTGAAAGTTCCTAACCAAAAGCAGAATGGGAACATCTTCACCATGTGGACTGCAGCAGATCAAGAAGAAAACTCAATATCACTTTCTCAAGACAGACTAGGGATAGGTGATGAATACTCACCTTCCCATTGATTCAAAAATATACTTTTTAAGAGCAGCCAATGTTGTTGCATAGACGAGTGTGACAGTCATTATTCAAATCCCACAAGTGATTGGTCAGTTTGTGTATTTTTGGAGGAATGTTGACCAGAATGCTGGGCGAAATCCTACCCTACTTCCTATCCAAAGGAAGTTAGATTGTGAAAAATGCTGCTGCGGCAAATGTGCCACAGGCAGTAGGAAATTGAGTGTGTTTCTGAAGATAAATCATTGAGTAATATAGTGAAAAGGGGTTTGTTGGTATTGAGCTATTAGAAAAGGACAGGTTTGTTGAACTCAATGGCATTTTCTTCTCCCTAAAAAATATGTTCTTGGATAGGAATTTATTACATTGTCAGAACTCAGAAGGGTAGAGGGAAAGAGGAATGATATTTGCAGCAAACTGTTTTTGATAAGCATAGCCCTCTTGCTGTTTGCCAAATATTTGAGAAGGTCAGATCTGTCATTAAATATCTTAGCCCCCTCCCCATCCCCCCTCACCCCATCCATGATGCTGGAGGTCACTTTGTCTTAATGTCTGTTTCCATTTTAGTTCCTCTGATTTAATTCCCAAAACAGCCCTTGTCCTTCAATCCCTCCCTCTCTACCAGTAAGTTGGCAGATGTCCCAGGTAGGTGCAAAGAATGAAACAGTGCCCCCTCGACCCATTCAAGGGCATATTTTACTGTATGTTGCTCAGCCATACTGGGGAGTTTTTTTTGAATGAGCTAAACTCTCAGAAAAACAGAAATAGACCTACCCTTGGATGCCTGGAATAGAGTCCAACCGGGGTTAATCTCTTAGTCTGATAGAGACTGAATCTTCCTCTGTGCTAACTACTTCTGACTAGATTTTTTTTCCCTTGGTTCCTTTCCAAGAAAAGGCAATTCAGTCCATTACAAGTTCATCAAAACCAAATGAGGATGTTAATATCTTCCTCAATATCCTTAGGCGGCAGGATTTTCCAGTCATTTATTAGTGTTTGCATGAAGAAATTATTTCTGTATTTGTTCTAAATTTACTTTTTACTGGTGTCTTATTCTTAGTAACATTCAGACTGTAGCAGAGAGTTACATTGGCACAACAGGATTGATTTTAACCTGAATGGGTAAACAGTTAAAATGGAAGCAATGACTTACCCTGCTGGTCCCATGGGTTGCCATTTTGCCCTGTCCCTTTGAACAGGTGAACCAGCCACCTAATAAAAATAGCAGCTTTTTGTACAGCTCACTCTCTGAGGATGTTATCGGAGCACTTCTGCATTTTTAGTCTAAGGCTGCTCAAGTGAAACTGTTATGCTTCCTCCATAAAATCTCCCTTCCAAACAGTACCCAAATGATGTTGACCAATTATTGAGTGGATCCAGATCCTTAAAGATCCTTAGGCCTGTGCTGAGAGCCAGAGACTGATGGCACCCCTGCAGATTAATCCCAGGAGCTAAACTCTCTCAGGCTCTGTGCAGTAGAGGGACAATACCCAACTCAATACCCATACAACCAACCTTGCTAGGAGTTAAAATTCAGGCTGATGTATCTAATGGCCACTTCTTGAGTTGCAAACAATGAATAAGGTCTTTCAGCCCATCTTAGTTCATTCATCTACATTCCCACACTTCAACTCCTTAAATGGTAGTGGCATTTTAACCATAAATGATAAATGAGGCAAAACAAGTGAGTGACAGCTCCCTCATGCAGATGGGGACAGGTTTTTGATCCAGAAACAGGCCTGAACTCTTTTTTCTGTGCCTTGAGAAAAGATCTATAGTGTTACTTAGAAGTGAGTTCAACAAGTATTTGAAAAGGAATATAATAAAAAGGTGGGAGGGTGAGAAAAGGGAGAAAAATTGGTACAACACTGACCCTGGTGAACTGTGAAATAACTCCACACCAGCCGGTATCCACCAATGGATTGACTGGGCTTGTACTCACTGGAATTTAGAAGAATGAGGGGGGGAATCTCATAGAAACATATAAAGTCCTGATGGGACTGTACAGGCTATCTGTGGGAAGAATGTTTCCGATATTGGGAAAGTCCAGAACAAGTGGTCACAGTCTAAGAATAAGGGTTAAGCCATTCAGGACTGAGATGAGGAAGAATTTCTTCACTCAGAGAGCTGTGAACCTGTGGAATTCTCTCCCACAGGAAGCTGTTGGGGCCAGTTCATTAGATATATTTGAGAGGGAGCTAGATGTGGCCCTTGTGGCTAAAGTGATCAGGGGTATGGAGAGAAAGCGCCTATTTTCTTTGTTTTTATGTTACCAAGTCACCCTTTATTTACACGCGCACAATACTTGACTCTGGCCTGGCTTCCTCAGAGCCACCTCTTAGAATGACCAGAAACTCTGAGATTCTTGCTTATATCTGTCAGCCAGGGCTCCCTGACTGGACCAGGTTAACAGCCCCAATCAGGGAACTCATATTCTATGAGGTCCAGCTGGCTGACGTCAGTACAATCACTACACTTTTGTGTTGCTAAATTCCACAGGCTGAATTTTGTGGGTCATGGGCAGGCAGAGAACAGCAGCAGTGTGGATCCATCAGAAAGGGGTGCACTCACCCTCACTCTGCCACAGATTTACGGACAGAGGGAGAGGCATCAGGTGAGCCACCCAATTACAGCTCAATAGAGGTCCTGAAGTTGGCAATTAACGCCCAATTATAGGCCCCATCACACCACCACTTTGATTTAATGGGTGGCAAGATCTTGAATCTTGAATTTAAAATGAAGTCACATTTGGGTATCTTAATTATTTGAAGTGTTCTTTGAAATGAGAGATAGGCTTCTTGGAGCACTTGCTGCTCCTAATTAATCTACCAAATAATTCCTTTTAGTTTTGTGCCCAGCATATCTAACCTTATGGGCTGCTGGTGGGTGAACAGTGGAGGGGTGATGTTTGCCTTCATCCAGGGCTCCCTGTTCCAATGGGAGAGTTCCACCCCCTCCTACCGTAAGGAAAATGCACTTCCATCACTCTCTGAGGGCTGCCTACCTGCCTCTGGCAAGATCCCAAACATAATTACCTGGGTTTGGGGGCATTCTTTGTTCTTCTTCCTTCCATGATGGCTGCAGCTAATGTAAAGCTGCTGCCCTCCAGTTGACCAGACTGCTCCTGGGGATTTCATAGAACCCCTACAGTGTGGAAACAGGCCCTTTGGCCCAACAAGTCCACACCAACCCTCAGAGCATCCCACCCAGACCCATCCACCTAATCTACACTTTCCTGAACACCACAGGCAATTTAGCATGGCCAACCCACCTAGCCTGCACATCTTTGGACTGTGGGAGCACCCAGAGGAAACCCACACAGACACGGGGAGAATGTGCAAACTCCACACAGACAGTCATCTGAGGGTGAAATCGAACCCAGGTCCCTGGCGCTGTGAGGCAGCAGGGCTAAACACTGGGCCACTGTGCCACCCTAAAATGCTTGGATCGAATGAGCAGTCATCCCCACCTCATGCTAATTCAAGGGTCATTGCCTGAAAAGCTAAAGTGGAGCAACCCAGCTAAGCAGAGAAGAACTTGCCCCTGAAATTTATGCTGGGTTGAGGGCAATTCAGCATATAACCTAGCTACAGTCAATTCTTAAAGTTGTCATTGAGTTCCTGAAACTCAAGTAAGTGGATCATTCAGATTTAAATGTCTTTTCCACATTTTGGAAATGTGGGTTGAAATCTGAAACTGAGTTCTGAGGAAGGGTCACCGGACCCGAAACGTTAACTCTGATTTTTTCTTCACAGATGCTGCCAGACCTGCTGAGCTTTTCCAGCAACTTCTGGTTTTGTTCCTGATTTACAGCATCCACAGTTCTTTCGATTTTTATTTAGTCAGTACATGGAGCAGCGCAGTTCCTGCACCAACCTACTTCTGCCACTAGGTGAAGCCTCTCGGTACGAGTTCAGAGTCACAGTCAGGAGAAGGAAATGCCTTCAATGGTAAAGGGAGGGACCTAAAGTAAGAGCAGAAGGAGGCAAGAATTGGTGATGTTAGGGCAAAATTTAGCTTGTAAGAGATAAATGATACCTTCATATTAAAAGCAACTTCAGGCCTACGGAACCAGCATTTCTGATGAAGGGTCTAGGCCCGAAACGTCAGCCTTCCTGCTCCTATGATGCTGCTTGGCCTGCTGTGTTCATCCAGCTCTACACCCTGTTATCTCAGATTTTCCAGCATCTGCAGTTCCTACTATCTCTCATACAATTTTAACCCCACTGCGAAGCCTCTTCTAAGGATGCCTACCCTGAAGAAGTTGCCCTCCTCCCTCTGGACAAATCTCAGGGGATCTCTCTCCCACTGCAACTCTCTCGTAATCTCTTCGGCCTTGAAACTGCTCGACCATGTCCTGAAGCAAACCAGGTACTACAGCCACATCACCTTTCTTAGTACCTGCCTACGGAACCAGCATTTCTGATGAAGGGCCTAGGCCCGAAACATCAGCCTTCCTGCTCCTATGATGCTGCTTGGCCTGCTGTGTTCATCCAGCTCTACACCTTGTTATCTCTATTTCTTTCATTAGCTGTGTATGAATAATGATTGGAGTATGGGTAATGGGGTGCTAACAATACAAACGATAATCAACTTTTCTGAATGCTTCAGAGATTTGCTTTGGTTTAATTACTGAGGGAGATCTCACTTTACATTGCTCAACTAAAACGCTAGTTAAGAATGAGATATTAGAAAGATTTGGCAAAGGTATTATGGTCAATGTCTGGTAGACTTTCAAAAGGCATTTAATGACATAGCACTTGGAATCAATGAACAAAAATATGTTATAATGCAGAACAAGAACTTTCAACTCATTGTGTCTGCACCAGTTCTCAAAACGTCTTTGTGCCATTCTCCCACTTTTTCCCTATACCTTGGCGCATTATTCATATTCAAATAATCATCCTGTACTCTCAAATGCTTCAATTGAACCTGCCTTCACCACACTTCCAGGCAATGCATTCCAGGCTCAAACCACTCAATGCGATCACAGTTGGTTGTTTTGCAAATCACCTTAAACTGTGCCGTCTCATTCTTGTTTATTTTACAAGCAGGAACAGTTTCTCCTTATATCCTGCCCCTTCATGGTTATGAAAACTTCTATCAGATCTGCTGTTGGCTTCTTTTTTCCAAGAGGAATAATCCTAACCTCTCCAATCTGGCCTCATAACTGATGTGTCTCATCCCTGGAACCATTCTTGCAAATTACTTCTGAATTCTCTTCAGTTTGTATATATCGCTCCTACAGTGTACCAACTAGAACTGTAAACAATACTCCAGCAGAAGTCTCACAAATGTCTTAACAAGTTCAACATCACCTCCTTGCTCTTGTATTCTATGCCCCTATTAATCAAATCAAAAATACTGTTTGCTTCATTAACTGCTTTCTTCACCTGCCCTGCTGGAAGAAGAAGAAAACAAATAGTGACCAACAAATAATGAGCAACAGGTTTAAGATCTGGAGGACTCCAGTTCAGGGACAATCAATGTTGTCTTGTTGCCTCCGAATTTCATGAGAAAAGCGGCTTTGAACTTATATTTTTTGACCCATCACCAAAAGTCAATTGGTCCTGAGATACACACCCAATGTAGCTAAGACGTGGCGAAGTTCTGCCCCCATGACTTTGCCATTTCCCTCCTTATCGAACACTCTCAGACCCTCCACAAAGTCCTCAAACGTGCCCTGGTCCTTGACTTTGCAAATATGTTGATGCATTGGCAGAAAGGTGTCGAAGTCCAACATCTTTGTATTCATCTCTGGAAAATAAGGCAAGTTAAAATTATTTTTTGTTTTAAAAATAATTATAAGAACAATGCAAAACTAGGTGCAACTTGCATGACAAATCACATGAATTGGTATGCTGAGCAGTTGTTGCTGCAAGTTCATCCAAAATGTTGCAAAGTAGAAATATCAGACACAATGGATCCGAGCTGGAACAAATCAGTTGTTATTATGTATAAAATCAGATCAATGCTCATTTATTAGATTTGCCTCAAAGTTCTAAGTAGGAAGGTTGACCTGTGCTTTTCAATACAGAGAGAATACAGGTACTATGTGACAGCCATAACCATGTGTGTGTTTTTTTTTTAAAATCAATGTTGCATCTTTACTTGAAACCCTGAAAATGTCTTTGGGAAGGCATTGCAAATCTGAGAACCGGATAATCTGCAGATAATTTTTGGATTCAACCACCTTCCCTTGTCTCCTCCCCACAACAGGTGGGAAAAGGCCAGGGCGAAGTTAAGTTTGACCAGATGTGAAGCTCAAATTCAATATGCCATGACTGTGTCTATTTTGAGTTTAACCACATGGAGTTAACAGATGGGTGAGTAACCCACTGTGCTAAGTTAAATTGGTCATCATTACTTTAAATAGCTTCTGTGCCTCAGACTTTGGTAGCCATTTTCACTTAAACATCCCTCTCCCGAAACATCTCTCCCACTTTGCAGTCTCTTCCCACAATATAATCTTGCAATTAACTGTTATCTACCTCTCCCTGTGATCTCTCCTATTGATCCCTAGCACTTCAAGATCCCACCCCATCTTGCAACCCTGTACATTGATCTCCAACTCATTGTGATCTCTCCTTCCTGCCATCTCAACAAATCTGTGATGCCTCCTTATGTGATCAACTCCCCAGGTGATCTCACCCTCCCTGTGATATCATCAAATCTGCAATCTCCCTTCCTGCAGTCACCTCCTGTGATGTCTCCTTCAGTTATGTGCAATCTGTGGTCTCTCCCCACTGTGTTGTCTCCCTCTAGTTTCCTCCTGAAAACGTTTTGCCTGATTTTTTTTTCCATGTAATCTGTCCTACTCTACAATCCCTCCCCCAATCTCTCCATCTGTGATCCCTTACCCCTCGATCTTCCCCTCTTTGCAATATCTGATTGATACCCTTGCAAAAACTTCCTTCCTTAGACTCCTCCCCACCTTGTGATTTCATTATCTTTGCAAATCACAAACAATATGCAGATACAGCAAGTGAAAAGCAAAGGAAGTGTTGACTTTTTTTAGCAAGTGAAATGGAGTTAAAAGTTGGGAAGTTTTATTGCAACTGTTTAGGAGCTTGATAAGATCATGTTTTGTGTGCTGTATACAATTTTGGCCACTTTATTTTGAAAAATATATCATTACATTAGAAGCAGTCTAGAGAAAGTTAACTCAACTTAATCCTGGGATGAAAGGCTTATCTCATGAGAAAAGATTGGAAGGTTTGGGCCAATAACCAGTGCAGTTTAGAAGAATGAAAAGTGATCTCGTGGAAACATATGAGATCCTAAGGAGGCTTGGACACTGTTATGTGTGAGACTAGAAATAAGGGACTATTTAAGAGCAAGATGTCTTGTTTTAAAGATGGAATTCAGAATTCTTTTTCTCTCTGAGGATTGTCAATATTTGGAATTCACTTCCCCAGTCAGCAGTGGAGGCTGACCCACAAGGGAATTGAGGGTTACAGGGGGAAACAGGAAAGTACAGCTAAAACCACGGTTATGCAGGCTTGAAAGGCAAAATGGCCTACTTCTGCACCTAAGTCCTATGTTCCTATGATCTTTCCATCCACAATCATCTCTTGGAAGCTCTCCTCCAGGGATTTCTCCATGTCTGCAATCAATCCATTTCTGATCCATCCTCTCTGTATTTAGAAGTAGTCTCCTTCCAAAACACTTTCTGTTAATTCGGCCCTTTGATCTCTTCCTCTTTCCTGATTTGCCCATTTGGATCAGTTCCTCCTGGCTACCTCTTCCTCTATGGTATCTCCCCATGATTGCCTCCCCAGTAAACTTTGAACCTTCTATGATCTTTACTTTATTGTGATTTCTTACTAAAACACTTTGATCACTCCTTGCCTCTTCTCTGTCACGTTTTGAAGACTCACCCCTTCAATCCCCACAATCTTCAATCTCCATGATTGTCATGGACCATTCCAAATAGTCCTCAGCTATTTCTTTTTACTTTAAGATCAGCAATTCGATCTAAAAAATTCTAATAAGATCCTTTCAATGAAGCTGGCAGGACATCTAATATTCTCCAATGTTTCTGGGTTTCCCACTGACAGATAGCCCCACTTTCTTTCGACCTTCCCTTAAATATCAGACAGCATTAAGCTGCAGATTTTGAAGAACATTTTGCCTCCTAACTGGATTCCATATGGCTGCTTATTCAGCAAATCTAAGCCCTTATTGAACAGCATCAGATACAACTGATGTTCTTCTTTACAGGTATACTGTTAGCTAACAATGTCCTGGCTAATTTTGAGGTTGAATTAGTTTTTGAGTACATGAAACACTCAACATTAAATGGTAATCCTTACTTCATTGAGATTTAATCTACTTCACATACAACTCTGTACTGCTGCTTTAACTTTAGCTTCATATTATACATTGCCTTGTCCATTCCAGATCTAACTAGTTGTCTAAATGATACATTGTCCAGTCTTGATTGTTAAGTAGCTGCTCAAGTTAAAACATTGCCATTTAACAGAGGTTGGAAGATGTATAAGTGCTCATATCATTAGAGGACCTATTGCAGCGGGGAATGATTTAACTTTGAAAGTGATGAATATATTTTTGATGGGCAGGACTATCAAATGGAATGCAGCAGCTACACATTACATATTACAGGCTTGGTGTACTAGTGACGAAAGGATTAACTGTTCCTCACTTCCCTCAATTCCCATTGAATTCAATTTTAAAATAACACTTTGATGCCATATTTACTCAAATTCAGCCTTAATGTCGTTACTCTAATCCCTCCTCAAAAAGAATGAAGATCGTTCTTTCACCAAACAGAGTTATTTTACTTTTCTATGACTCTCTATGCTCTACCTTTCACTCACTTACCTTCTTGCTTGGGTCTTCCTAAGACCTTCATAACTTCTGCATTAGTTGGGTTCTGACCTAGAGCACGCATAACATCACCACACTGGCCATAAGTGATCTTCATCTCTGAATTGGGTGTCCTGTCAAACAGGGTGAATGCCTCCTTGAAATCTGAAAGAAAAAGAATCCAGACAAATGTCACATGAAAACATTCTGTGCAACCCTTCTGATCTCCTGTTCACCTCTGAGATACTAATTTTAGTCATGTTGATGCAAAATGCCAATGATTCAAAGCCAATTTCTTGACAAAGTTGGAGGGAGGGAAAATTAGTCCTAGACTCACAGTGATAGAGTAAGAGGCCCTTCAGCCAATCATGACTGTACCAGTCACCAAACACATGTCTACTAATGGAATAGATTCTAAAAACAGGGACATCTTGTTAAAGGTAGACAAGGTACTAATTAAACTCACAAAACTAGAATACTTTGAACAGTTTTGGTCTCTTTATCTAAGGAAAGATATACTGGCTTTGGAGAAAGTCCAGACAACGTTCATTAGATTAATCCCAATTATGGAGAGAGTTTCTTATGAGGCGAGGTTGGCCTGTGCTCACTGGAGAGTGAGAGGAGACCTTATTGAAACATATTAGATTCTTAGGGGGCTGAGATACTAAGAGGTTGTATCCCCTTATGGGAGAGTCAAGGATAGAGGGCATAATCTCAGAGTAAGGGGTCGCCATTTAGGACAGAGACAAGGAGGCATTTCTTCTCTCAGAGGATAGTGAATCTATGGCATTCTTTACTGTAGAGGGCTGTCAAGGTGGTTGGTTATGTATATTCAAGGCTGAGTTGGCAGATTTTTAATCAGTAAGGTAATCAGGTTATGGGGAAAGGTAGGAAGGTGGAATTGAAGATTATCAGATCAGTCATAACCACATTGAGTGGTGGATCAGACTCAATGGACTGAATGAAATTTCAACAAGTGCTGATGAGTAAGGTTTTTCAGGATTTTAACCCAGCAACAGTGAAGGAACAGCAATATTCATCAAGCCAGAATGGTGTGTAGTTTGGAGGGGAACTTACACAGTTGGTCACAATGCTTCAAAAGTAATTTATTGTTTGATATTCACTTTGGGATTTTCTGAGAGGCACTATAAGGATTGTTTTTTGACTCAATCCAGACATGTACCTATCCTGGGACATCAGTTCTGTGTTCAACACATTTTTTTTTCAGTTTCTTCTGCAATAAAACCAATCAGTGTTGATATTGTTTACACTCTCACCTTCAATCTGATCAGCAGTGAATTCAAGCTGTAAAGGAAAGGAGATATGTGTCAGGTGGAAATTGCTCCAAAAAAATCAACCTCTTTAAAAATGAGAAAGATAACAAAGAGCACAATGGTATTTTTTGCCTCTGACTTGAAACAACAACAATGTTAATTTAATGCTTATAGTGTAATAACCTATCCAAACAAAATTTGAGATAACACAGTGTGGAGCTGGAGGAACACAGCAGGTCAGGCAGCATCAGAGGAGCAGGAAAGTCGATGTTTCAGGTTGGGACCCTTCTTTAGAACTGAACCACATAAGGCATGCCAATGCCTTGGTTTAACAGCTGATTGCAGCACCTCTTTGACAGTTCAGCGGTCCAATGAAATTGCACTCAAGTGTTCTTCTAGCTATGTTTCAATCTTAAATAAAGCTTGAGTTCATGGCTGTCTGATTTGGATTGACTGATTGTTTGATTTATTGTTGTCATATGCACTGAGATATAGTGAAATGTGTTGGTTTGCGTTCTATACAGGCAGATTGTACCATACAAGGTGCACACATTGGTAGAACAAAGTGCAGAATACAATGTTACAGTTGCAAAGAAGTTCAGAGAGAGAGATCAGAATTAACATTTGAGAGGTTTGTTCAAAAGTTTGATAAGAGCGGGGAAGAAGCTGTTCTTGAATCTATTCGTATGTGTATTCAACATTTAATACTGTAAGCAGCAGGGCAGGGAAATGAGAAGTATGTCCAGGCCTGGCTTCAGTATCTCTCAATTATCAACTGAAAAGATCTTCTTAGTTTTTGAATTGTTCTTTGGATTTCAATACACAGGTGATACACCTGTGTGTCATCCTCCCCTCTGCCTAATTTATCTTGTAATCTTTTTCCTCATAATGTCTTCCTCCTTTAGACCTGCAACAGTAACTTCATGAGTAGTGGGTCAATAAGAAACAACGAAGCTATAGATGATATTTGGATGCAGAGAGGTTGAAGAAAGATGGGAATAGGATAGGGAAATGGAGTTCTGGAAAACGATCAGCTATAGCCTTACTGACTGGTAGAGCAAGTTCAAAGGACAGAATTGCCTATTTCTGCTCCTATTTCTCAAGTTCGTAAGGGATGCAGAAAGAATTCATAAGGTTGACTGCTATCTGTGCTCTTTCACACTTCTCCCTGCTCCACCAGCAAACCCACTCCTCCCCATTCCCCGCTCGCTGTCATGTTTCTGAGTTATGAGGAAAAGATGGAGAGATGAGGATGTTTTGTCCTGCAAGGATTTGTGTTGGAGTCTCAGCTGTTCACTTGCTGTCAAATTGCTCACTCACTTTGAGCCTACCTGGATGCTCACAGCATCCCTGCCTTGCCTTGGCTTTTTTCATCTCTGCCACCTCAGCCCGAGATCCCACACTCAAAGTATTGCTGTCTTGTCTTGCCATTTAGCTAAGGCATAAACCCAAGAAGCTTGTCATGGTTGTCAGCAATCCTCAGTCAAGTCAAGGGACATAGCTTTCACTAATGGGTAAGCCAAAGGCATCCTCCAAAACCAGTCCAGGGGCTTGGTCATGGTCAGTCAGCCACTTGGGGCAAGCAGAGTCAGGATCCTTTCCAGATAAAGAGGTGAGGACCCAAAGCAACCCACCCCCATGTTGACTCTTTCTGCCATACTGTGGGCTGTTTTCCCTCATGGAATGAGAGATGCAGGATTTAAGGAAGATGAAAGAGGGTTGCACAGCAATGTTGAGGTGTCCCGAGTGAGCGAGTAGGCAGCTCTGAGGGCAGTCCTGTCAGGGGAGTTGAGGCAGTGACAGAGAGTGAGGGAAGATTTTGCTGGCAATAGTGAGAGTGATAGAGCATGAGCCTTTGGTGGGAAGTGAGTACAGGAGCAGAGAGAGAGTGAGTGTGGGGTGTTGGAGAGAAGGTGGTGGAACTTGCTGTGGCAGAGTGGAGGAAGTCATTGATTTTTCCTCCTACAGTGCTAGGCATTAATTCAGTTGGCTGAGACTGCACTGACCCGGATGGCAATCTTGGCCCAGGCTGGCACAGTCTAGTGCCATGGCCTCCACTGCTGGTCCTGGGGGATAAGGACATGCTGCATGTCCCATCACCCTGTCCAGCAGGACCTCCAGATCCCAACGAGCAAAGCAGGGCACACAATCTTCCTTATCAACTACATGTGGGGCAAGTGTCAGGAACTGTGCAGGGCAGCTCTGGAATGTCAGTGCTTGTCCAGGTACAGAGTGAACTTTTAAAGATGGCACTGAACCAGGAGTGCCAGTTGACGCCAGGATATCCTAGCAGTGGCAAATTGTTTCTGCAATCGTATTTTGTCAGATAGGGCTAGAATTGGACCAGAGGGATGCCTTAGGGGTAGGTAGTTAATGAGGTGATTTTGGTGAGATATAATGAGAAAACTTGCTAGACCTAATGGAAATAAACCCTCCAAAAAACTTGTCAAAACTGGCACTTAATGAAAACAAAACATCAGAATCAGCTCCAAGGAGGTCGCAGGTCGCAGATCATCTCATTGAGTGGGCTAATTGGCCTGCTCATGTTCCCATTCTCAATTCAGAAAGGAGGTCATTATATAGTGGTTTACAGGATATTTCAGGGAATGGAAAAAGGTGATTATTTACGTAATTACTTTAAAGTAGATCGTGAAAGTAGGTCAGGAGGATGTAATTCAAACTTGTGGAACATAATCTTAGGCATGATGTCAGGAAATACTATCTCACACAAAGAGTGATCAAAATATCAAATAAACTTTTTGGGATTTTGCTGTACACATATTGGCTGAGACATCTGAATATATGTCAAACCTTTGGAAAACTGATGAATTTGCTGTAAAGTGCTTTTTAGAAAATGTATCTTTCACAAGGTTCTCAGCTCAACCTTAATAAAGACTGCAAAATCTTTTCGCTCTCACCAGCTATGTATCTGAATTTGTAATTAATATGTGAATTGTTTTAACCTATCCCACTACCAACACAATAAGTTTTGGAAATTCCCCCATGTCTCCTTCCCTTTGTCCTCCTTTGATATTCTCCTTAAAGCCTATTTTTTGGCCTGATTTTTGGTCATCTGACCTAATATCTCCTTATGCAGCTCAATGCCAAATCTTATTTGATAAGGTCAGAAATCACATGACACCAGATTATAGTCCAACAGGTTTATTTGAAAACACAAGCTTTTAGAGCTCACACCTGAAGACGGAGCGAAGCTCTGAAAGCTTGTGTTTTCAAGTAAGCCTGTTGGACTATAACCTGGTGTCATGTGATTTCTGACTTTGTCCACCCCAGTCCAACACTGGCACCTCCACATTATTTGATAATGATCAAATAAAGTGCTTTAGCACATTTTACTTCATTAAAGTTGCTGTATAAATGCAAGGTTCTGTTTATAATTGGAGACAAGCTAAATTGGTGATCTCACAAATACATTAGCTGTTTCAGTTAACAACTAAAACAGAACTAAGCCTGTTGGTTTGTTCAAAGTAGATTTTAAGTGAATTTCCTGCGCCTACCAAAACCATGGATTATAACCTTGAATCACTTATGAACATAACAAACTTTAATTTCAAAATGTGCTTTTTAGAAGAGGATTGATACAGCCAAAATGACTGCAGATGGAAATTCAGAGGCTGTCTGGAAAGACAGGAGCCCTGAAATGTCACACTTGATGAAATGTCAAGAAAGCTTCAAAGGAACGGAGTTCAAAAGGACAAAATACTATAAACTGAACTGTAATGCCCTCTGGTATCTCAGACTGTAAACATGATGATTAAAAAGCACAGCAGGAGATATATTTTTCTTTCAAGAATGCACCGTGAGTTTCGACTGTAGTCTGTGTGTGTTAGTGGCCTGGAATCCCAGTATACTGTGAATGTCACTGCTTGGAGAATAACCATTTAACACACCTACAATGTAGGTAAGGAAGGGGAAGAGTCTATCTCTCGCTTTGAGTACTAGAAGCCAGCTACCTAGCAAATCAGTTAAAGGGAAACAAGTGAAAAAGGACTCCCTCAGTCTGACTGCTGCCTATCAACCACTGTTGAGAGAAACTAGGACAAAGGAATTTCAATTATCCTGCGAAGTTCAACCTCAACATCAATGCTAGCAGTAACATCCATTGCCTACTATCTACTCTTCATGAATGATTCAGAGACTGATCCATTTCTCTTAACTTCTGTCTTTTCTCTGCATTCAATTCTCATTTCAAATCTGGGTAATATGTATTGCATTATTATTTCTTCTCACATTTAATTATTAATAACTTTGCTGTCTGGTTAACACAAGAAAGTCTGGTTAAAATGCCTCCTTTTAAAACATAATTTCATTTGGTCTGGGAGAAAGAGATCCACAAGGACGGGATCCTTTATAACTGAAACTTGTTGTGACCAATTGAAGGGTTGGGTGAATAAAGAAGACGAGTCACTTCCTCCCTCCTCACGTGGTAACTTTGGTATAGGCCATCTGAAACCATAGTAAGCTCTCCCAGTGTCTAGTTGTTACATTTCACAAGCAGAAGGATATGAACATATCTGACTCATGGTGTACTAAACACTCCTAGAACATAACGGGATGGCTTGGTAACAGAATAAACTGTCTCCATGCTGCTCCAGCAAATATCGTCAGGTCAGATATAGCACAAGTTAGATTCTGAATAAAGCTCCCCTGACATTACCCCATCAAATTCTTGTCGGCCTTATCACACTTTTGATTGGACTTTTTGTATAATAAAACATCCCAAGGTAATCAGCAGGAGAAGCAATGGTCAGGAATAGATATTTAGTGCTTTCTCATGCTTTGTTCAAACCCAACTTACTTTCAAGGTTTCATTTGTGGCCAATACTGCCATCGCACGAGCATGTGTAGCTTTGGTTTTAAAATTAGTACGTAGCATCAAACAAATCAGTTTGTCCTACGTTTGTACAAATTGCTACAACACATTACACTATTACAGGGAGTCCAGCCAACATGAATATCTATTCTTTGCTGATAGAATCCAAACACTTTAAGTCCTCGTGTAGCTCACAGTCATGCTGGCTAACAGAAGAAGTAACAGAGTACCCTGAGAACTCATATTACAATATAGTAAGAGAAAACCACATACTTCAAACACTTCAAAGTTCTTCCACTATTTCATCACTGCTGTTGTTAAAACCTGTAACTGGAGCTCTCTGTCACATGGTTCCCCTCCCTGCCAGGTCACAACATTCTGACAGACCTAATGATAAGTTTTTCAGGTGCAAGTTCACAGCAAAGGAATTATTAAATGAGAAGACGAAAAGTCCATTTAGTTCACTTTCTACCATCCTGGTAGTTGTACAAGTCATCAAACTTCTTAAATTCAGTTCCAGTTAGTTCAATACCATAGCTGCCTTGCTATATAACTTGCTGAACACTGCTGCCTAAACTCCTCAGTGAGTTCTTCTACCACCACTCCTGTTTTTGACTTCAAAAACCTCATCCTTATTTTGTAATCTGGTCCCTTCCAACCTCTGCAATAAAACATATCACCCAAAAGAAAAGGCCTCTGCTGGAAAGCTTAATTATCATTAACTTCAGATGTTAAACATGCCTGGATTCTCCATTCTTTTATGTAACTTTCCCTTGTCAGGCAGTCCTACTTTGAACTTCATATTGAAAGAGACAGGTCATGCCGTTGGTGGAAATGTACTCACAGTTACTTTCTTGGGGTCAAACTCAGGCTCTTTGGGGATTTCTGGCTCAACAGGCTTCATCTCCTTCTTTGGTTCCTCTTTCTTAGGCTCAGGTTTCTTGGGTGCCATGTTTGTGTGTCAGTCAGAGATGGAAGACCACGAGGGGAAAGGACAGAGATTGAGTGGAGAATGGGCACACGATGTCTGGAACAGAGGCCTTTTATCTCTGGTCAGCTCTCTCAGGCATGCCACAGTATCATTTCTCCATACATTCCAGGCTTGACAATGAAGCCTTCACTATAAATGGAAAAAGCATCTGTTGCTATAAAAAGCAGCTAAACTGAGCATTGTTACTGATCAGTCTCGGGACAGAAAGACTTTGAGTCGGCAAATCACAGAGATGACAAAGTCACAATCCAGATTGTTACAGCAGCCTCTTCAGATCCCGTTAGATTTAATAAACAGCAACCTTAACAAAATAAAATTTGAGATTTTCTTTAGTTTTTTTTGTCCCTTTCTCTCCTGTTTCACAGGAGGGTACAGTTCCAAAGTTCAGACTGTCCTTTTCGGGTATTTTCTGGTCATATATTTCAGGTAAGACTGAACAGTGAGAGTTAGCTTGGTTTGTAACATGCATTTCTCTGCATAAGAGGTTGTGGGTTTAAATCTGATTCCAGGAATTGAGTACATAATCTAGGTTAGCAAGTCTGAAACTGAGGGAGTTTGAGCCTTCAAAGTCCATCCTTTGGGGACACTGTAGATGAAATCTTTCTTTTGAGATTGTGTTGAAATGGGTGTAAAAATGAGAAAGACTTCCACCTAGGGGCGTGCATGTTTATTTTCTCAGCTCTTTATATTGGGCAGGGACTTTCTGGGCTCCAACATCCAGGCACTATATTTAAACAGCACCTTGTAGCACATTCTATGATGCAGGAACATCACTCAACCTCTGCTCATCAACACCCTCCCAAGCTGAAAATGTCAGAGACGAATCAAAAAGCAGCAATAGGTTTTAGCAATGCCTCACTAGAGGTTCTCCTGAAGGCTGTCCATGTGGATGACTACTTAAAGCCAACCCAACTGATAAATGCAGCCTGGACAGCAGGAGTGGGTGGGGAAGTCAGTGCCCATGGGTGATTCAAAAGAACATTACTCCCGGGTGCAAGAGGTATGTACCAGTGTCTACTCAATGCTTCATGTTGTTCTCAGTGTGAACCAGCACAGTAAGGTTGCCACTGCAGGCAGTTCCAATCCAAGAATTTCCATCAAATGCTTTATGTGCAATTAACATCTGGCACTTCATTGCAGCTACTAATGCAGTACTGATGGTACCACTGCCTCTCATGTACTTGCCTGGCTCCACATGATAGACAAAAGAGCTAAAATCCTGAGGGGAGTTTATCAAGACATCAAGGCCACATTTGACTGACTACAGCATCAAGGAATCACGGCAAAATTTACGTCAATCTGAATCAAGGGGCAAACTCTCCGCTGGTTGGTGTCAGACCTGGCACACAGGAAGATGGTCGTGGTTGTTGGAGGACATTCATCTCAGCTCCAGGACACCTCTGCAGGAGTTCGTCAGGGTTGTGTCCTCGGTCCAAACATCTTCCACTGCTTCATCAATGACCTTCTGTCCATCATATGGTCAGAAATGGGAGTTTTGCTGATGATTGCACAATATTCAGTACTATTCACAACGCCTTAAGTGCTGAAGCAATCCATAACCAAATGGAAAAGACTTGGATGATTTCTAGGCTTAAAATCATTTCAGTCACACAAGTATCAGGCAGTGACTGTCTGCATCTTGAGAGAAACTAACATTTTTGACATTCAATGGCATTACTGTCATCGACTCCTCCATTATCAACATCCTGGGGTTACCATTGACTACAAATTGAACTGGACTGGCCATATAAAGAGTGGCTAATAAGAGCAAATCAGAGGCTAGGAATCCTGCAGCAAGGAACTCACCCCAAACCATGTCCACCATCTGCAAGGCACAAGTCAGGTGAGTTTTGGAATACACATCACTGGCCTGGATGGGTGCAGCTCCAGTAACACTGAGAAGCTGGACATCATCCAGGACAAAGCAGCCTGCTTGATTGGCAACACATCCACAAACGCTTAGGACACATAGCAAATTCATGGGAACATTATCACCTGCAAGTTCCTGTCCAATTAGCCCACTATCCAGACTTGAAAATATATCACCTTTCCTTCAGTATCGCTGGGCCAAATCCTGGAACTCCCTCTATAACCGCATTGTGGCCATTCTTACACCCATTGGTCTGTAGTACTTTAAGAAAGAAGCTCACTACCACCTCCTCAAAGGCAACGAGGGATGGACAATGAATTCACCCAGCCAGTGTTGTCCATATGCCTTGAATTAATTTTAAAAATATCAATTTAGTGCAATTTGTGGGATCTTGTTGTGCATAAATTACCACTGCCTTTAGTTATGTTACTGCATTCACTGCATGTTGTGTAAGATGATTATAAATTCACTTCCACTGTTGATACCCTTCTCAGGTTCATTAATATCAGCTGCTCCCTTAGACTGTGTCTATCTCTTACTATTATAGTAGTTGACTCATGCTGACCTCTATCTACTTGTTCCACAGCATGACTCAGTTTTCCTCACAATTTTGTATATATGCTTCTTTCATTTCTTCAAGGGCAGACTGATGCTAGCTGTGTCAAGGTTTGCGTAGAAAGCAGCAAAGTTACACATATGAGGAAACTGCAGATGTTCTCTTTAGAAAGTTGAGTTGAAAGTCAAAATCATCATGGTCTTAAACAGGGTAAATAATTGAAAATGTTTTCACTGGCTGAAGGACAAGAGAGTGCAGACTTAAAGGTTTTACAAAAGAACCAGAGGCAATGTGAAGAAAAGTTCATTTACACAATGACTGACAAGGATTTTGAATACACTAACAGTAGATACAGATTCAAGAGTGTCCTTCAAAAAGAAAAAATTACAGCATATGGAAAAAGAATGAGTGGGACTGAAAGGATTGTTCTTCACAAGAACTAGCACAGACTCATCAAGCTGAAGAGCCTTCTCCTGCGTTGTCATATTTAATGATACTCCAATAGGAAGAAAGGAATTCCAAGGTGCAAAATGACCAAGGCCTATCTAATTCATCTGTCAGCACGCTTGTCACTGATTCACAAAGTTTTGGGTCCCTATTGAGCATTGAATTCAAGGCTGGCGCTCCAATGCAATTTCGAATGTGTGCTGCATTGTTAAAGGTGCTGCATTTCAGATGAGATGTGAAACCAAAGCACTTTTGGTCTTTTGTGGTGGATGTGAACAATTCCATGCCATCATTTTGAAGAAGAGCTGGAGACTGATCCTTGGTGCCCTGGCAAAAACTTTTCCCTCAATCAGCATCACAATAAAAGGTCATCTGGTCATTATCACATTACTGTTTTGGGAGTTCATTTTGTGGAAAATAAGTGAGGGTGTGTTCTGTATTATAACAACTGAAAGCGCATTGTGGTATTGACTGTAAAACATTTTGAAACATCCAGTGATGATGAAAAGCACAGTTCTGTAGAAATATACATCTTTCTTTTCTTGATATCCTAGTTAGTGACATGATACTAGCTAGGAGATGTTGACTAATCATAATCATTGATATTACTTTCAGATCCAGTCACGAGATGAGGAAATTGTCTGGTGCAGTGCTTTGGGAACGATAGATCCATTTCAATGTCACCCGTTTCTCTACTAAGCACACTACATTTTCTCCATGTTCTGTATTAAATTACGCATAAATTTCATAAATTGTATCCCAAAACACCATTTATTAAAAATCTAATTTGCATTTTTATTAATCAATACTTTTCCATATGTTCTGATTTCTATCTATTTTAAATTTTATTGTTCATTAGCAAACTTGTTGTGGTACATTTTTGTTCATTAAAAGTTATGTAAGTGAGTAATTAACAAGAAGAAGAAAAAAATTGTATCATAAACAATTGTATCATAAATGATCAGTGTGAAATCCTGTGATGCTGTGGTGCCCCTCTGATCTCTGGTTACACAGACAAAAGATGAATTCCTTTTCCAGGTGTGCAGGCTGGAAGAAGGTAATAGAAAGACACAAGCTTGAGACATGAGGAATAATGGATGGACACAACCATCAGTCCCTGGTAACAATAACAACAACATAACCACTGCTTTAGTTTATTCCTTCCCCCCCATGATCTTTATCTTGTTTCAGTAGGCCTAGGGAGTCTGTTGCAGAGAGGGCGCATAGGGATGTATACGCATGAATGAATTAATAATTCAGGTCATTTTATTCCATTGTCACAACTTAGATTGATGCATGATACAAGGTAAAGAAAATGAGACATGATTCAACTTTGGTGCATACACAATTTAGATAAAATAATCTCTCAGCATTTTATCTTGCAATTCCAGGGCACAACCTCCTCTTTTCTCAGCATTTTCAATCTCACTGTCTGCACAGAGTCTTCCTTCCCATGGACTCACACAACTCTCCCAAGCCTCCTGACATTTGTCTCGAAAACTCTGTCAAGTTTGCCTGCAGTCACCTCCTTCACAGGCAGTCAGTATCCAACTGAGGGACAAAGTACTGAAAACTTGCCCTTGCATATGGCCCCCTCAAACGCCAGCCTCTAAGACCCATCTTGCCCCATTTTTCTCTCTCCAGGGCTTCAGCAATGATCCTCGGTGAAGGCCTCAGTGCATTACAGACAACACCCACGGCTCCAGGTAACACTGCCAGTAATGGCAGGTGATGTCCTCTGATTGCCTGGCAGATTTTAGGGTTGGAATTTGAGCCATATTGGGGTCTTAACTGGATTGCCCACACTGTCCAGATGAGTGCCTGTATGGACTTAAATTGCATCAGGGCTCCCACAGAAAGATGATGTTGTGTTCCCACTGATTGTCCAACTTAATTAAGTTCTCAGAATCACAGAATCATTATCATGCAGAAGGAAGCCTTTCAGCCCATCTTGCCTGCACCGGTTCTATTACCTAATGTCAATCTCCTGCCTTTTCCACGTATCCCTGCACACCATTTCTATCCAAATGCCCTCTTGAATGCCTCAATTGAACCTGCCTCTACCACATTTCCAGGCTGTAAGTTCTGC